TTCCTCAGCGAAGAACTATTACAAGATTCACACATATTCTTAGAAAAATTAAGACAACATATAAGGCAAATCAGACCGATACCCACAGCGCACCATATCAAAAAGAAACATTTTATTCAGGATAGGTTGTATACATGTACGCACATATTTGTAAGGGTCGACGCTGTAAAAAAAACAATTAGAAGCGCCTTACGAAGGTCCATACAAAATTATACAAAGAATTACAGATAATATTTTCAAAATTAACTATAAAGGAAAACATATAAATGTATCTATAGAAAGACTAAAACCAGCGTTCGTCGAAAAAGATTGCAACACCGATTCGTATGTACCAATTAAAACTTATTAAGTTATGATAGAGATAGTGCAATATTTTTATATATCTTTATATATTTTTATATACTTGTAAACATCTATAATTTTAAGTTTCGCATTTTACGTAATAAGAAAAATGCTCCGAAGGGAGTAATGTAGCGGTACGACCGAAGGTCGCGCCCTCTAAAGTTACTAGAAGGCTAGGGAACCACGCTAGCAAGTAGTGGTCACTAGACTAGAACAGTCTGTGCGTAGCCGTGAGAAGTGTACAAGAAAGAAAAGCAAGTCGCATCCTTTAAATAAAAATCATAAAATAAAATTCAGTCTAATATTATCTTTACTCTAGATAAACCCTCTACATGCACCAGGACGGTGCCGACATCTCGCGGCTGCCAGCGCCAAGTTCGGCAGACGTACCCAAAAACTACTAGAGGTGCGCGTGTCTAGCAGCGACACTTTATGCCTCGGCTTTGTAACCAGACCATGATGTAGAGGCGGCCGATTGGTCAGAACTCGCGGCGTAATTGCGCCTGGGAATCTGATTAGTCGGGCCTAGTGACGAACATCCCGGATCATCTCCTCGCTTCTCGGAGATCATCGATCCAACGGATTTCTCGACAGGAGTTCGATATCACTCGCCAAGCTTATCAGTCGACTGCGCTTGCTCTCTCTTACATATCAATTTATCATTCTGTATCTCATTGTGCGTGTGTGTATAAATTCTGTATCTTGTTGAATAAAATCTGTTCTGAGAGATCACAAATAAAAAAGGTGAAATCCCTTGTCTTGTCCAGCTTCCTCATTGGTCGTTACGGTGGTCAGTAACTAGCCATTCGGCCCGCGGTCAATGGATTTCCCACAAATTTCTCGAACAAGATTTTCAAAATCTGGAAAAACAGTGCAAGTTCCAACTTTTTCAAAGTTAAAGACCTTTTCTTTTTTGTAATCAAGTTCAAAACCCTATCGTAAAAACGGTACAAACGGCGTACCGCAAGGAAAAATACTTGTTCATACACAGATCGTACACGGATCGTGGCGGGTGGTGATGGGGGAGCACCTGCGAAATTTAATGACTAAAAAAAAAAAAGGTCATCAAGTTTTCGAAATTCCAAATTGAATCGTACAGGCTGAATTTTGGATCGTACAAGACCTCAAATTATCGTACGAATGGGATCACTGACCAGGAGTTCGAACAATATAGGATTTTTCACATTTTTTGTGGTAGTCATTTCTTGACCCAGATCATAGTTTTCTTTTTTGCCACTGGCTGCGCAAGTATTCAGAGCGTACCGATACTATTATTATTATTACACGTAAATTAAATATAAAATATTAATTTATCTTTTTAGAATTATTTTTATTAAAAAATGGGAAAGTGTTGTACCGTTTATGGTTGCCTTAGTGGCCGTAAGGCAAGTGAGAATTTAGGAAAAGTGGCTTTATTCAAAGTATCAAAAGTGAGTAACCTCAAAATAATATTAAAAATTTCATGTTAACAAAAAATTGATTATTACATTTGTGCAGTTTTTAAATAATATTAATTCCATGTTTTTTAAAATATTTTTTTTTCAGAGCTGTCAATAGCAAAAAGACTTCCCGCGTAAGTATTTAAACGAGTACTCTGTGAAAAGCAGCGCGCCCTACTAGCAAAATATCTTGTCCCCTAAATCTGTGCTGTCAGATCGTGGGTAAATCTTACCCTCTCCCTGTGCCACTGGGATTGCACACAATGAAAGTTTTCCATGTCCGTGTGTTTGGGATGTCGAAAGAAGTCGAGTGTAACCGAAGTTGGCGGGCACGCCGGAGTGGCACACTATGAAAGCGACTCATGTCGTCCGAACACATGGACACGAGTCGCTTTCATAGTGTGCCACTTCGTGGCCAACCGCCAACTTCGGTTACACTCGGCTTTCCTCGACATCCCAAACACATGGACATGGAAAACTTTCATTGTGTGCAATCCCAGTGGCACAGGGAGAGGGTAAGATTTACCCACGATCTGGCAGCACTGCTGGCAGCATAGAACTAAAGTCTCTGGGATCACTGCTCCTGGTATTCATCCTCCGTCCTCCGTATTCTACATTTACCGTTAAGTTGGTAAATGTTTATGTTTCTAGTCATACTCTATAAAAACATCAAGTTTACGTGGTATACGATTATATATTTTTAATTAATATTATTTATAGAATTAAACGCTTTACAATATTAAAACAAAATGAGTACTGGAAAAAGTAATGGTGAAACTGGAAATAGATTGGAGGATCTTAATGTACCTGGGCAAGTCTATTTAAGAGATGCTTTAACAAGCTGTACAGATCCCTTGAAAGCTATAGAACAATTTCAAGTATGCTAAATTAAAAACTATTTTGTGCAACTTACTTTAAATTTTATCATTATATACATATATATTATTCCTTAACGAAACAAAAATTACCATTTTAATCCAATTCATTTAATATTGAAGTATTTAATTAATTGCTACTCTTAATATATATTTATGTATATATTTATTTTTGTAATGCAGGTAGAAAATGGTATCCATTTACCTTCATTGCGACCTATGCTACCTTTACTCGATTTGCATGGAGTTAGACGTCTAGATTTTCATGCTTCCGTATTAGAGGAATTAAGGGAGAAACTGGTAAAGCGAATAAATGAAATAGGTGCTGAAAGAACTGATAAAGTATCTAGTGTTGGTGATAAAAAATTAAAGGAATTACTTTCTAAAAGCTTTACTGCTGTAAGAGTTGCAGCATTAAGGCCAGTTGTTATGTGTATATTAAGAAATACACCATTTATCGAAGACAAATATTTACGCATATTAGTTAAAGAAAAGGAATTATATAACGATGCTGATACAGAAGTAAAAAGACAAATTTGGAAAGACAATCAAAGTCTTTTTGGAGATGAAGTATCTCCATTATTCAGTAAATATATAATGGAAAAAGAGAAAATTCTTTTCGATCATAATAACTTGAATAGTCTTTTCTTTAGTCCATCTCCCAAAGTAATTTATATAGTRATTATATAATTCTAACTATTTCATTATGTAAAACAATTAATTCAARATAAATTTGTATCCATAGGTACGAAGACAAGGAGAAGTTGTTCAAAAATTAGCTCATATGATTGGACATAGTGTAAAATTGTATGATATGGTATTGCAATTTTTACGTACYTTATTTTTACGTACAAAAAACATACACTATTGTACTCTYAGAGCTGAGTTATTAATGGCCTTGCATGATTTAGAGGTAAGACAATGGTAAAGTAAATTTTCGGTTAATGTATCAYTTCAAATTCAAAATTAACATGTCTTTATAGGTACAAGATATCATTTCGGTTGATCCTTGTCATAAGTTCACTTGGTGTTTAGATGCATGTATTAGAGAGAAAAATGTAGATGTTAAAAGGTCTCGTGAATTACAAGGATTTTTAGATAGTATMAAGGTTTGTTAAACATAGTAATACTTATGATACAATTTTATATTACATAATAAAAAAAGTAAATATATAAATATTAATTTGACATAGAGAGGTCATGAACAAGTATTAGGAGATTTAAGCATGACATTATGTGATCCATACGCAGTAAACTTTCTTGCTAGTAGTGCAATAAAAATATCTCTTCACTTAATTAATAGTGAAGCATTACCACGAGAYAATGCTGTTCTTGTACTGTTATTAAGGATGCTTGCTCTAGGTTTATCTGCTTGGCAAATGATTGATTCACAAGAGTTTAAAGAACCAAAACTTGATAGTCAAGTTGTTACAAAATTTGTACCAGCATTAATGTCCCTTATGGTAAATATTATAAATATATTAAGTATGTAATGTATTTTAATTTTACATGCATTATAATTTTGTTTTCCATATTTTTATTTGAAATATTGTGTAGGTAGATGATCAAATCAGACAATTGAACTGTAGACTACCCCCTGATGAAAGAGAAAGTGCAATTGCTATTATAGAACATTCCGGCCCACCTCCTGATGCATGTCAGGCATATGCACAATTATCTGRAGTGGCTGCAGTTTTATCAATGTATTACACATTACAAATAGGAGGTGGAGGTAGTATAGGAAAAGGAAGAGGAGAYGCAAGAGGTTTAATGAGAGTATTAGCTACTTTAACAAATTGTCAAGCACAACGTGCATTTGAAGATCCTTTTTTACACACTCTGGTAAGTAAAGGAATAACTTGAGTTATATAAGAAATCATTTGAAAGAATCATGTGATTGTATTTATTTTTTTTAGGTTTCACTATTAATACTGAATATGGCTGATGAGTTCTCTAATGAATCATTTTGTACTGTAATATTTGATGAATTTTTCCTGGCAGGTTTAAGCAGAGATAATGTTACGCGTCATTTATTAAAATTACTTTGGTATATTCATCCAAAATTACCACCCGCTAGATTACATTCCTTACTAAAAGCTTTACAACCAACTAGTCAGGTATTATTGTTTCTTACAAAGTGAATATGTGTATATATTGTTTTTCTAATATTATAATCGTTTCAGCATAGTGAGACCATAGCTTTATATGAATCCTTAAGAGATAAAATAGGCAATCGATCCATGCAAGAAGCATTACCATCATCATCTCAAATGGATACTTTAGGATTACATTGTCCTTCTTCGCCTATCATGGGAGTTCCTACTACATTAACAAATTCACTTTAATTTTTAAAGTTTATGAAATAATGATGAATGATTGTCTTTTATATACATTTGATCATGGAACMTCACATTACTTGTATTTCTTATCAATTGATAATGATGTACATTCTAAGCACTTTTATTAAAAAATAAAATAATAAAGACAAACTACATATATGTGTAGCTTTATTATTTAATTTATAGACAATATGAAGGCTTTATTACACCTAATCATTCGTACAACTAATTTGTCTGAAAAGATGAATTCATCTACCTTATCTCTCTCTCTCTCTCTCTCTTCTCTTGTTCTCTCAAACTTATATTTATTTAATTTTAAATATTTCTAAATTATTTGTTAATTCAATTATAAACCTATCTMAATAATATGAATCTAATTTATACGACATTAGTATCATTGAAATATACATTGATGCTTGTTTCGTTGCTAATAAAGCTTTCAATTGTGGATTTATTATACTTAACCTGAAAATAATTTTCAAATTTAAATTATGCGTTGTTAAAATGTATATATTACTTCTTAAAATCAATAGGATCTATTATTAGAAAAAAATTGCGTACATTTTTATAATTATTAGTCCTACAAGAATCCATTCAGCAGTTTTGAAAACTATGTTTATAGCAGATAATGAAAAGGTATTTACTAAACCTTTTACAGAGACATAATGATGGCTACTATCATAAATATATTCCATTATTGAATTACATTTGGTACTTTCAGCTAACATATTCAATAAATCTGATAATCTGTAATAAAAACAATAAAGTATAAAAGTTAAAATCAATTTAAAATATGAAACAATTTTAACAGACGAATAAAGTAAAAATTACATTTTATGAAGTTTGTCCAAAAAGATCTTACGACGTAATGCTTTAGGTGCAACTAAATCTACTAAAGGTAATAGATAAGACGGTTCACTTGGTTCTTTATTTTCTGCAATTTTTTCATGAAGATCTATTATCATACGTCCATTGTAAAACGCATGTACCTTCGAATAAATATATACTTATATATTTTATCTATATAGACGAACACACATCAAATGATTGTTATTTTAAAAATATGACATACCCTTAGATTCATTTTTTTTTTGCTTCTTTCTCTAATGTAGAAAAATCAGGTAGCGGTTTTAATGTATAATTAGATAAGTCTGTACGATTTTCCTCTTTATCTATTAGTTCTAATTTATTTAATTTTGTACATAACTGTAAATATTTTTCTTGTTGGGTAAAATGTTTCATTAATTCAGATCTCGTATCTGCATTTCCTTGTAAAAAGGAAAGAGTTTTTTCTGTAATCCATTCTTTAATATTTTTCTCAACATGCATTGTTAACGTATAAAATTTAGTCGACAACTGTTCTAAGTTGTTAGATGTTTCTTTTTTCTTTACATTATTATCGTTTATATTTTGTAAATTTTCATATTTATTTTTTTCATTTTCAATAGGATATAATTTTTTGTCTTCAAAGATATTTTCACTTTTTATTACAATTTCATTAGTTTTCATATTGTTTTTATAATCTCTTTCGACTATTTGTATACTAGACATACTTGCTACTATTTTGTCACGTGTGTGTATGTGTGTGTTTTCCTCATTATCTGAAAATATTTTAAGACTTTCTCCCAAAACAGGTATTTCATAGCATTTTTGAATAATTTCAGCCTGTTCATTGAAGTTCTCATCACAGCAGTTATTATTTTTAAGTAAATTTCGTTATGTTCGCTAATGTCAAGTTTATAACGTCATATTTTTCATTGACAATTGTTGACAATACTGCATCATTAGCAATTGTATTAATGTTTTTTTAATTTATAAAAAGTAGTATTTATTTTAAAATGGTAAATAAATGTATTGTTCATGGGTGTACAAGTAGACGAGTCAAGGATCGTAATAAGAATACTAAATTAACTCAGAGAAATACGTATTTATTCACTGTACCACAGGTAATATAACCTTAATTGATAATTATTAATTACTAATATAATAAAATGCAATGATGCAAATGGTAAAAAGACTAATCCTGTAAAAAGTGCAATTTACGATAATAAATTACAATTTATTTTCCATTGGACTTTTTCAATTTAATTTTCCATCCTTTACTCAACTGCGACTAGGTAAAATAAAATTGAATAGATTTACACAAGTTGACGATAATATCTTGGGAATAATTGTAAAATAATAAAAAAATTTTTTCTTATTGCTATTTTTAACGTTAATTAAAAGATTTAGTTAATTTATTTTGACTAACGCCTAAGTACAATTGTTACATTCCCGCGACCACGGAAGATAGATACCAGGAGTCCGAACGTAATCAGCTCAGTGCAGTGCTGTCAGACAGTGCTGTCAGATCGTGGGTAAATCTTACCCTCTCCCTGTGCCACTGGGATTGCACACAATGAAAGTTTTCCATGTCCGTGTGTTTGGGATGTCGAAAGAAGCCGAGTGTAACCGAAGTTGGCGGGCACGCCGGAGTGACACGCTTTCATAGTGTGCCACTTCGTGGTCAACCGCCAACTTCGGTTACACTCGACTTCTTTCGACATCCCAAACACACGGACATGGAAAACTTTCATTGTGTGCAATCCCAGTGGCACAGGGAGAGGGTAAGATTTACCCACGATCTGGCAGCACTGCTGGTAGTTGATCGATGCTCACAATGAGTATGGATTTAGAATCCTAATCGATGGAAGCGGACGCGCGCGAATTTCAAATTCCGCTAATTATCGCACGATAGTTTCGGATCGTCTACAGATAATAAAAGTTTGTCTGTTTCTTGACTGCATTAGAGAGATATTATAGGATTACAAAAATTATATGCTAATTCATTAGAAGATTCTTATATCTTTAATAAAAAGAAATTTTGTTATTTGAAATCTATTGAATTAGAAGGAAAATGTTGGAATTACATTGTACATTATTGAGCAATCTAAAGATGTTTGCTGATTAACTGCATTATAGAAAATATTTTTAAGTTCACAAAAATCCGATGTAATAATCTTTGAAATATTTCGTTTTTTTTAGATATACATATATTTCCTCTGACACAAAATCGATTATTTTACAGAATTCATGTTGAAAATTGTATCTTGTTTTTGCAGATAATAAAAGTTTGTATGTTTCTTGACTGCATTAGAGAAAAATTATAGGATTACAAATATGAAATGCTAATATAATAGAAGATACTTACATTTTTAATGAAAAGAGTTTTTTTCATATAATATCGATTGAATTACATGGAAAATGTTAGATTAACATTGTATAATATTCAGCAATCTAAAGATGTATTTAGATTTACTGCATTGTAGAAAAATTTTTTAGTCTACAAAAATCCGATGTAATAATCTTCGAAATATTTCGTTTTTTTAATATACATGTAAGATTTATTGAATTTAAATAGAATTAATTATTATAATAGAACAAATATCTAAATATTAAGGTTTAATATAATAAGAAAGAGATAGAAATCGAAGAGAAAAGTAACAATAGTTAGGAATTTTAACACTAGAACTACCGGAAAAAAAACAATGCTACTTCTACCAAGACCAGTCAAAATGACTGGTCATTTATAATCGTAAAAACAGAAGAATTTTTTTATTGTTTTGTTGTATATTATCATATAGAATGAATATAAGGGTATGGAAATACATCTACATGATGACAATTTTTAAAAATATAATAATTTAATTATAATAACAACATTTTTAATGATACTAACAAGTATAAATAGAACTTTTAGAAACAAAAAGAAGAAAATAAACATACAATAAAGTAAATATAAGAAGTATTTTATTATTAAAAATGTAATAGAATCTGAAATAGAAAAAAAAAATTATTATTAATTATTTTTAATATAAAATATTAAAATGATTGTTATTTACCTGATTATGATTCGTCACATTTCTTACAAAAGTAATTTATCTTTGTANAAAGAGGAACCAAATTTATGGTTCGTAATGTTGGAAAAGGAATTCGCGGCGTACAACGTTAAATCGGATGCCGTAAAAGTTTCAGCGGTGGTAAGGAATTTGGATACCACGCTGATAAGAGAGGTATACGACATCTTAGCATCCCCTTCCCGAGCAATGTACGTACACACATTTAAAAGAAGCCTTAATACACAGACTAACTAAATCCGACGAACAACGGCTAAGGCGATTGGTAATGGGAATTGAATTAAGAGACAAAAAACCGTCCGAACTTTGGAGAGAAATGAAACGCTTAGCAGGTGATAGTGTTAGCGAAAAAATGCTCCTAACTTTATGGATGCAAAAGATGTTAACCAGGGCACAAGAGATCCTAGCCATTGCAGACGAAAATACGTCACCCGCAAAGTTAGCGGAAATGGGTGACAAGATCCTCGAGAGAGAGCGTCTGCCGGAAACGGCCGCCATTACGGAAGCAGCGCCAATAGGAAGTGCCGCTCAAACAACAACCAATCGCGAGGTAGCAGAAATCAAGCGGGAAATCGCGCAACTAACAGAGAAGATAGAAAAATTGATGCGCTGTAGAAGAAAATACCGAAGTTTCCGCGGAAGATCCCGAAGTCGAAGCCGATCGTCAAGCACTCACCGAAACAATGACGGCCTATGTTACTACCACTGGAAATTCGCGGAACGATCGTGGAAGTGCAGATCCCCGTGCAAGTGGACGGGGCGAATCGCACAAGCCGAATTTCAGCAACTAGTCAACGAAGGAATCTGTCGCCCGTCCAAGAGTCAATGGGCGAGCCCTCTGCATATGGTACCAAAGAAAAATGGCGAATGGAGGCCATGTGGAGATTATAGGCGATTAAACAGCGTTACGGTACCAGACAGGTACCCCATTCCACATGTACACGACGTCAGGCAACAATTTCGTGACTGTAATATATTTTCCACAATAGATTTGTCTAGAGCATATCACCAAATTCCGTTGGCTGAGGAAGATATAGAAAAAACAGCGGTAATTACACCTTTTGGTTTGTTCGARTACACAGTGATGCCTTTCGGTTTATGTAACGCGGCGCAAACATTCCAAAGGTTTATGAATATAGTATTAAGCAAATTAGATTTCTGCGCCTGTTACATAGATGATATAATTGTAGCGTGTAAAAATAAGGAATCCCATGAAAAACATCTGCGTGCAATATTTGATAGACTTAGGCAATATGGACTAACAATAAACATTTCAAAGTGCAATTTTTTTCAAAATAGCGTAAACTACTTAAGTTATAAGATAGATAATAAGGGTATAGCGCCGTTGGATGAGCGAGTCCACGCTATACAAAACTATACCAAACCAAAGACTGTTTCAGATATGCGACGTTTCCTTGGGGTAGTAAATTTTTATAGGAGGTTCTTACCAAAGGCTGCAGAATGGCTTGACCCACTTAACAAATATATGATAGGTGCCAAGAAGCACGACAAAAGACTTATAGAATGGAGTCAAGCATCGGAAGAAGCTTTCAAGAAAGCCAAAGAAGCAATTGCCACAGCAACGTTATTGACATATCCAAAAGAAAAAGCAGTATTAAAATTAAAGACTGATGCTTCCGATAACGCAATTGGAGCAGTGTTAGAACAATTCTGCGATAACAAATGGGAACCACTAGGATATTTCTCAAGGAAACTAGAAAAAGCGCAAATTAGATATAGTGT